CGGGGAAAGTGAGGGTCAGGCGGTGGGGGGGTGGGCAGGATGCTCGTGATAGCTTAGAGGAGCCTTGGTTCATCCCCAGGGCCTGGATACATTGCCATCTGAAAGGTGGGGGTTCTGGAGGAAGGGCTGGGGCAGAATGGCCGCTAGGTGGAAGGAACAGTGTTTTTCACATGCAGTGAGAGCTAAGGTGATGCCCTGGCATCAGAGAGAAACCAGATGGGCAGAGTTAGCCCTCCCTGGGCGGGGCAGAGAAGGTTTCCTGGAATAGGTGATCCCTGAGCGAGATCTGGAGCACCCCTCCCAAGACCAGTCGGAAGGGGAACCTAGGTAGAAGGAATAGCAGGAGCAGAAGCACAGGGATGCAAAATAGTATAGTGCGTCCAGGGATGTGTGCACAGAGGTTTAGTTAAAGGAGGAAGTTCCAGAGGTAGAGGTGGAGAAGTGACAAGAAACCACATCGTGGTGGGCTTTGCAAGTCCTGCTGCTAACTTGGATTCTACCCTGTAGGGTCTTGAATGGCTTTCGGCAGAAGAGGAGCCCGATGAGCTGGGATTTTTAGGAAGGAGCTGGTGCCGAGAATGGATGGGAGAGGCTGGGAAGGTTCTTGCACCATCCAGACAAGAGCTGCTGAGGGCCTGTAGTAAGATTTTCCAAATCTGCCTGCCAATATTTCAGCGACAAGATAGGAAGGATTCCATGGCATGAATCTCTGGAGGGACAGATGTCTCAAGAGGGCTGGGAAGCTCCCAAAAATGTACATCAGATTGTGCAATCACACACAGGGTAGTCTATGTCCCAGTGCTGAAGAAAGAGGAGCTGTGGCTAAGGAGATCAGTGGGCGGCATGGCAGCTCGCTGCGTTGCTGTTTTAGGAAGGCTTGAGCAGAGAAGGGAAGGGCAAATCTGAGACGGGGCCATGAGCCTGTGAACACAGTGCCTGGAAGACAAAAATAGGCAGAACTTTGTGAAAGATACTAGGGGCAACTGAGGCTTATGTAGCCAGGATTAGAGCCCGTGGAGACTGGGGAAGGAGGAGGCCGTGGCTGGGCCTAGGCGATGGGGACCGGAGAAAGGGGGTGTTCCTGGGGCCGTGTTGTTGCTGCCCCTCTGCCAGAGACCAGAGATGGGGCCACACTGGAGAGGAAGGAGAAGCCCCTCCCCAGCAGCTGCTCCCAGGGTTTGCAGGGGGCCTCTCCCTGTAAAACAACATTTCAGGCAAAAGGGAAGCTTCTGGACAAGACCGCTGGGTCTTCTCGGTCCCCTCTGAGGAAGCTCGGAGCACGGGGCTGGGTGCAGGAAAATGTGGCTCTGAGTTTCAAAAAGAGGAGGGGTCTGGAATCTGTAACTTCACAGCTCAGGGCAGTCCTGGACCAGGATCCTTGCAGACTGGGAAAGGGATGGTTCACCAGCACCTAGAAAGGTGGGGGAGGGGGGTCTGGGAGCCAGCAAGGGCTCGCCATGACTAGCGTGTCAGGCCAATTAAAAACAAGAGTGTTGTGAAATAGATAAGAAACACCCATGGAATAAAACTCAAAAAACACCAAAGAGTATACAGTGAAAAGTGCCCCTCTCACCCCTGCCTTCTAGCCCCCCAGCTGCGCTCCTCAAAGGCACCCAGTGTTACCGCTGCTCATGTATATGATCCACCTATCTATCTACCCTTTAAAAAAGGCAAATGTGTTGGGGCGCCTGGGTGGCTCAGTCGTTAAGCGTCTGCCTTCGGCTCAGGTCATGGTCCCGGGGTCCTGGGATCGAGCCCCGCACCGGGTTCCCTGCTCAGCGGGAGGCCTGCTTCTCCCTCTCCCGCTCCCCCTGCTTGTGTTCCCTCTCTTGCTGTGTCTCTCTCTGTCAAATAAATAAATAAAGTCTTAAAAAAGAAAAGGCAAATGGGGCATATTTCACTTGCCACGTTTTACCCAACCTTCTTTTCCTCTAACCGATTTTGGAGATTTTTACTCAACAATGCACGTGGGGCTGCCTCATTCTTTCGATGTCCAGGGAGTACCGTAGTACGATGCCCTGTCATTTATTCTACCGGCCCCCCACAGTCGCCAGGCTTTCTCTCTCATTGTCTTATCTACAATGAATAACTTTGCATACACATCACTTTCTGCGTGTTTGACATATGTGATATGTATGCGTTTCTATAGAATAAATACTCAGAGATGGAGTTGTTGAGCAAAGAACTTGCTCACGTTTAATTTTGATAGATATCGTCAAATTGTCCAACTCCATAGAAGCTGTGTGGATTCATGTCCCCATCCTCCTATACAGGAGGGCCTGTTTCCCTGTATTTGGGCTAACCGTGTTTTCCAACTTTCAGGTCTTACTGGTGCTGGGCGGTCAGAGAGAAGGAATCTCCAGTTTTAGTATGTGTTTCTCTCATTAAGATTTCTGACTAATGGATTTTCTGACTCCCAAGAGGATTGGAGACCGGTAGATGCAGGAGTTGTGGGAAGTGCGGGAACTCCGCAAAGTTCTTGATAACGTCTCTCAGGTGCTTTGATGGTCAAGATGGAGAAATAGAGCTGCGATCCTGAAGTAGTTTTATGGATCAGTAGCTGGAAAAATGGTCATCCATTCATTCAACAAACATCCATGGAGCTTACGTTCTACAGGAGGAGACAGGCAATGAATGAAAACCAGAATAAATAAGTAAATTATGTGGTGTATTAGAAGGCCGTATGCCAAGGGTATTGCTTAATAAATCCACATTGGTCTAGAAAAGGACAATAGATGCCACGGGGGCTCTGTCATTAGTCTCGTCTTGTCCATTCAACACATAGTGATTGAATATCCACTACATGTCAGGTGTTACTTTAGGAACTAGGGATACAGCTGTGAACAAATCAGACAGAAGTCCCCGCCCTCCTGGAGCTGACACTCCATTGGTAGGAGACTGACCATAAGAAATTAAATAAGAAAAATAGGGGCGCCTGGGTGGCTCAGTTGGTTAAGCGTCTGTCTGCCTTCGGCTCAGGTCATGATCCCAGGGCCCTGGGATCGAGCCCCACATTGCATCGGGCTCCCTGCTCAGTGGGGAGTCTGCTTCTCGGTCTCCCTCCTCCTGTTCGTGAGTGCGCACTCTCTCTCTCTCCCCCTCTATCGCTCACTCAAATAAATAATCTGAAAAAAAAAGAAAAAAGAAAAGTATATAGCGTATTAGAAAGAAAAAAAAAGTGCTATGGAGACGAATTAGGTGGGGAAGGCTGATAAAGAGTACCAGAGAGTGGGGTTGCCATTCCAAATGGGGCTGCCAGGAAAGGCCTCACTCAGAAGGTGGCATTTGAGCAAAGACCTGGAGGAGGAAGGGAGCCATGAGGCTTTCTGGAGAGGGAAGGCTGTTGCAAAGCCCGGGAGGCTGAAGCAATGCTTGGGGTGTCCGAGGAGCAAAGAGCAAGGGGGAGTGTGGAGAAGGGACAGAGCGGGGAAGGGGAGCTGGATCCTGCAGGGTGTGGGGGCCTCTGTGAAGCCTGCAGCTTTTACTCTGAGTGAGGCAGGAACCATTGGAGAGTCAGCGCAGAGGAAGGGTGGCGTCTGGATTGGGTTTTAATAGGCTGATTCTGGTCGCTGTGCTGAGGGTAGACAGAGGGCAGAGCAGGGAAACTGTAGTGATCCAAAGAGCAAGGGCAAAAGTCATGAGGTTCTTGCAAAAATCCAAGCGAGAAATGACAGTGGCTTGAACCTGACTGGAAGTGACAGAGGAATGGTTGGAGTCTGCTATGTTCTGAAGATAGAGCCAACAGGATTTGTTGGCACCTTGGCTAGGAGATGTGAAAGAAAGGGATGTGTGAAATAGGATGGCAAAGGCGTTTGGTCTGAGCAAATGAAGGATGGAGTTGACCTGACCGGAGATCCTGAGATGGTGAATGGGATGGCTGGATGGGGCCAACGGGAAGGCCAGGTTTGGAATGCCGAGTCTGAGATGCCCAGGAGATACCCAGGTGGCGATGAGAAGGGGACAATAGGACATGCGGGTCCGGGAATCAGAGGGGACGGCTGGGCTGGAGATTGAAGTCTGGGAGCCAGCAATTTATAAATCATATTTAAAGCCTCTCATCCGGATGAGATCGCCCAGGGAGTGAGCGAAGACAAGGACGAGAAGGGGTCCAAGCACTAGCCATGGGGCATTCCAATGTTACAGAGTTGGGTCACAGAAAATCGCCAGCAAAGGAGGCTGAGAAGGAGTGGCCAGAAGGTGGTGGGGGGGGGGGGGGGACCAGGAGAGTGTGAGAGCTTGAAAATAAAGTGAAAAAAAGGTTTCAATGAAGCAGCGTGACCAACTGTTCCAAATGTTGCCAAGGGGTGAACTGGGATGAGGACTGAGGAGAGACCCTGGGAGAGACCGGAGCACCATGCAGGAGTGGTGGGGGTGACATCCCGCCTCCCACTAGCTAGGACTTAGAGGAGGGCCTGGATGTTACGCTGATCCCCTTGGGAGGAAAAGTGAACCACCCAGAAGGGCCACGACAGGTGGCCGTGAGGGACGTAGTGACACAAGGTGGCATTTGCCAGGGTCGGCACGGGGGTCCCACACACCAACCGTCTAAGTACAAAAGACTTGAGGCTTGTTGACAGCTCCTGGTGTGTCAGCAGTGACGTGTAGTGATCCGAAGAGCATGGCAATTACAAGCTGGGTTAATGGACATATCATATCCGGAACGAGGGAGGTGACTGACCTGCTGGGCTCAGCAGAGCAAGGCGCACGGGGAACTGGGTTCGGCTGGGGGAGGGGAGGTGGGAGTAGATCCAGCAGGTGCGTGCAGGGAGTGCCCAGAGGGCCAAGGGTCTGCAAAGCAGTGGACCTGGGGAGGGAGGATGTGTGTCTACCATTCCGAGAAGAGCTCTCCTATGAAGGTATGTCTCAAAGCGGTGGCACAAGGCTGAGTGAGTGGAAGCTGAAATGTGACCAGACTCGGTGCTGTGACTTTTTCTATATTTACTGTGGATTCTCCATGAAATTTTATAATTTGTAAGCATTTCAAACCCCTTCTGACCCAGGAGTGACCCACAACTTGCTGAATGCCTGAATCTCAAGTCTTGGGAAAACAATGCTTCCTCTCAAGATCAGCTGAATGAAATGAGCAACTTCTAATCTGATCATCAACCGAGGCAGAGGAGGTTTATAATGGGTAGGCCACAGGGCTCGGGGCTTGGTCTTCCCCGGGAACATGCTGTCGCTGCCCTGGCAGACAGCATGGGCAACCAGCTCCCACAGTGCAGCCCCTGTCCCCTCCCAAGTGTCTGGGCATGGGGGTGAAACCAGGAGAGAGCAGAGAGCCGGCTCCTGTCCTCACAGGGCCCCCGGTCTGATGGGGGTGGGGGTGGAATGAGCTCCAAGGGCTCGAGGCGTTGGTGTGACCATACCCCTCGTCTGGCAGGAGGGGAAGGGTACAGCCTCCAAGATAGAATTCCTATAACCTTCCTGGTCAGCGCCGTCCCACAGAAGTGTAATGTGAGCCACATCTGTATTTTCTAGATTTTCTAGTAAGCCACATTAAGGGAGCAAAATGAACAGGTGCGACACATTTTGACATATTTTATGTATTTATGTATATATTTATTTAACCTAAAATATCCAAAAATATTCTCCTTTCAACAGGTAATCAAGGCATGAAAACGGCCTGGGATAATTTACATGATTTTTTCATGCTCAGTCTTCACAAGCTGTGTGCATCCTCTGCTTACTCACAGCACATCTCGATTTGGACCAGCCCCGGGCGCTGGGCAGCGAGGGCTCGGTTTTCTGTCTCATGTCCTTCCCTGTGCTGGAAGGAGCCAGGGCTGCCCGTGTGCGTGCGGGGACTCGGTGCTGGCGCCTGCCTGGCGATGGAAGGTGCTCGCGGGGATCCTCGGCCGCGATCTGCTGCATGCGGGGTTCGCCCGCCCCCGTTCGCGTTCCTGGGCGGCAGCTAGCCCCTGCCAGGGCTGCCGGCTGTTTTCCAGCGGCGGTAAATATTAACGAAGCGGTGGGAGGCAGGCCCTCTGGGAGGCCTGGGCTCTCCCCATGGGAGGAATGGAGATAATGCTGTGTACCTTAGATAGGGCTTTCGGTCTGGCCTCTGACGCTGCTGGGCTGAGCTGCCGGGGATATGCAGGCTGGCCTTCTCTTCCCAGGACCAGGATGCCTTGCTGGGAGAGTCTCAGAACCCGCAGACCTCAGAAGTGCCACTTGCCTCTATGTGTGCATGAGCCTCGCCCCACTCCTCAGTCTCTCTCCCAAACCACCTCTTCACTTGAAGACCTCTTCTCTCCAAATCCACTTGCCAACAAGCCCAGCTAAGCCCGACCTAAGGGCAGAGGAACACATGGAGTTCAGATATTTTCTTTAAAAACAACAACAACAAAAACAAAACCAATCAGCACTCACTTATTGAGCACTTGCTGTATGCTGGGCCATTACATAAGCTGCCTCCTTCCTCACGGGCACACAGGGTCTCAGGTTGTCACCCCCCACCCAGGAGAGGGGCCTGAAAGTCAAACGGGTCAACGTCACAACTGGGCTACAAACCTAGGCTTTTGATTAGACTAGTTCTAGCTGCCAGAAAGTTCTCTCTGGGGAGGAGAAAGCAGGAGTATTTACTTGCATTTGCATAAACAAACACTGGAAGGACACATAGGAGCGAATGTGATTACATATGGGAGGGAATGAGGAGGAATGGAGGTACTGGGGGTGAGAATGCTCAAGGTATATCCCTGTGTATTACCTTGATATTAGAACCGTTTAGATATATTATCTAATTTTAAAAATAAATGAGATGGAATTTTAGCTGTTTGTTTTTTTCCCTCCTGGTAGAGGAAGATATGTTTCTCAGAGTAGATGAGCTGGATGGGCAAGCTGAACGTTTTTTTTAAGAAAGATTTTATTTATTTATTTGTCAGAGAGAGAGAGAGCACAAGCAGGGGGAACGGCAGGCAGAGGGAGAAGCAGGCTCCCCACTGAGACCGATGGGGGACTCGATCCCAGGACCCTGGGATTATGACCTGAGCCGAAGGCAGTCGCTTAACCGACTCAGCCACCCAGGCATCCCCGAGCTGAACATTTTTTGGTATCTAGAATGTGTGTAGGCCTTATTTTCCATAAAGATCAATTAACTAATTTAGATGACAAAAAAAGAAAAAAGTGACTTCTTTCTGATCAGGACTTGGAATTGGTCTTCTTTAACCTATACCCTTGGCTCCTATTTCCTTACATCCTTGGCTCCTTCCAGTCTGATGAGGAAAACAACCAACTTCTACCCCTCAAACAACCCCAGTCAGAGGGAGAGACACAGCCCTGCTTCAGGGAGCCCCAGTCTGAGGGGGAGACACAGCCCTGCCCTCAGGGAGCCCCAGTCTGAGGGGGAGACACAGCCCTGCCTCAGGGAGCCCCAGTCTGAGGGGGAGACACAGCCCTGCCCTCAGGGAGCCCCAGTCTGAGGGGGAGACACAGTCCTGCCCTCAAGGAGCCCCAGTCTGAGGGGGAGACACAGCCCTGCCCTCAGGGACCCCAGTCTGAGGGGAGGCACCGCCCTGCCTCAGGGAGCCCCAGTCTAATGGGGGGAGACAGCCCTGTGTTCACAGAGTTCCCAAGCCCAGCTCCTCTGGACCATGTGAGAGAAATGAAGGGGCTCCTCTGTGTTCTGAAGCACCCACTTCTGCCCTGGGCCTGGCTCCTCCTTCCCATCCCAGGAAACCTCCTTCATTCTTAGCCTGCTCAGTATGTCAACACTTGATTCATTTCCCCTGAGTGCTTGTCCCTGGTTCCCAGAAGGTGTCTGTGTGTCCTTCGTTGCTTCCAGTCTCTCCTGGAACCAGGGAATGCATGTCCTGAGGGCATGTGGGAGGTGGGCATCTCCTTGAGAATCTCCCTTGCAAGACAGAGACTCTATACTATCACTCGGACTGAGCTGCGCTGAGCCAGGGTGGGCCAGAGTGCGGGTCTGTGTGGGGAACTGGGGGCTGCCCTGCCCTTTTCCCAAGAAGCACATGGGCAGTGAGAGCTGAGGAGAGGGCCCAGGAGGTTTCTCTTTACTTGTGGATCTCATTCAGTGAGTCTGACCTGGAACCAGGCAGAAGGATGGGAGGCCCTGAGTGTTCTCGGAGTTCCAGAGGTCATTGACCTGGGAAGGAAAGGGCGAGCCTGGGGCCGGGCAGGCCGGGGCACGCGCGTGTTTGTGCGCGTGCACACACACACACACACACAGCCTGTGTTTCCTTCTAAGCAGAAGGTGCTGCCCTTGGCAGAACTGGAGAGGCCCATCTCATTCCCAGCCAGGGTTCCTCAGCATCCTTGAGGGGAGGCCAGGTTGTGAGGCCAGTGGGCTACAGCCAACCCTACCCTGTCCTGGGAAGGTGCTCACTCCACCCCACCCCAGCCTACATTCCCTTTTCTTTCCCTACTGGCAGAGGGGTCCTGGGGTCTGGACCAGGCCTTGGAGGCTGGAACAGTGTGTGGGGATGGAGTGGTGGAAATCTGGTTGGGAGACTGAGGGGTGGCAATGGAGTGAACCCCTTGAATACCCTGCCTGTCTTCCTGTCTCCAGTCTTGACCTCCTCCTCCCAGCCTGGCTATGAAACTGAGAGGGAGATGGCAGGGCAGGGTCCCAGCAGGCCCAGGTGGGGACAGCAGACACTCCTGTTGTCAAGTACAGACATAGAGTCTGAGAGTCCCAGCACCTCCGAGGTACGGAGCAAGGGTCTCGGCCTGATCGGGCCCAAATGTCCTCATTGGACAGCTCGGGGAACTGAGAGCCATAAAGGTTTTGGGGAAACATCTTGGAGAAGCCACAGAAGAGAGGGCCCTGGGACTGGGCCCTGGAAAGCAGTTTGTGGGGCTGATGCGGGGAAAATGTCAGGGTTAGGGTGAATAAGATGGGAAAGGAGAAAGATATCCGATGGGGAGTGAGGCCGGGCGTGTCTACCCAGAGTATCAGGCCTGCAGGGAAAGAAAACAAAGCATCTGGGATCTTGTAAGACAAGACCTCAGGTAACCCCAAGGCTCAGCAGTCAGCTCCCTAGGAATGTCTGCCAGCCAGCAGCATCTTTGACTCAGCGCCTTTGCTCTGCAGCCCAGGGTGACCTTGTGCAGGCCATCCCTGCTCAGGGCCTCGGTGTCCCCTTCTGTAAAAGGAGACTGGTACCCAGCCTTCTTAAAGGACCTCCCCACCCCCAATCTCCATGTTTTACACGATATCTTTGAGAGGCTTTTCTCTACCTGGCACTTCTCACTCTCCCTGTGAGTCAGTTTCTGCATCTGTAAAATGGGGATAAAAAATAATACTTATCTCCCAAGCTTGTTGTGAGGATTAAATGGGTAAATACACGTAAAGCATCTAGTGCCTGGCACACAAAAAAATAATTAGGAGGCCTGTAGTGGGTTTCTTTTTCATTGAATGACCTGGGCAGAAGGCCTTATTTTTTTTTTTTCTTAAAGATTTTATTTATTTATTTGACAGAGAGAGACAGAGCGAGAGAGGGAACACAAGCAGGGGGAGTGGGAGAGGGAGAAGCAGGCTTCCCGCCGAGCAGGGAGCCCGATGCAGGGCTCGATCCCAGGACCCTGGGACCATGACCTGAGCCGAAGGCAGATGCCCAACAACTGAGCCACCCAGGCGCCCCCTCCGTGGGGCATTTTAAAGGCAGCCTGACTCCAGGGAGGCCCACATCCTAATCCCACATCCAGGCCACTCACGTCCAGGCTGGAGAGCCCAGAGGCTAGTGAGACCCAGGCCTGGAAGCCCCTGGAACCTCATGCCAGGACCACTGAGGTGACATAGGGTTTCTGGGCCTTGGGCCCCAGAGGGAGAGTCGGCACCCTCCTCCCGCACCCCCACCCCGGCTGGAGGCACCCTGCTGTGAGGCTGGCGGGAGATAGGGGAACACCGAGAGGCATCCCATGGAGGGCTTTCAAGAGGCTGCCCTGCTCAGGGTCAATATTTGTTCAGCTCTTGGGCTGGCGTGGTCCCTCACTGCCTCTGGTCTCACATTCCAACCATCGCACCCCTATCTCAGGAACGCGCTCCCATCGACTTGGGGGACCGCGCCCGACACTGGCAGTGGTCTGCCCTGGTCTGCCGCCGCCACCACCCCCATTTCCAGGCAGGTGCGTGGAGGACGCAGGCCAGGTGTGGGCGCTGGGCCCTGCCCCACCTGCTTCCCCACCATGAAGCTCTGACTTCCCTGCCCACGGCAATCAGGGAGGGAGGGGGACAGGACCTTGTCTGCCTGCGGCTGAGATTCCTACTTCTATCAGATCATTACTTTGACCTACATTTCCTAAGCACTTACTCTGTTCCTGAGAAGATAGCCCCTCCCACCTCTACCCCCCAAAGAAAAGACTTCTTCTAGGCCCTTGAGAAGCTTGTAATCAAACAGAGTTTTCTCAACCATCAGTAACGTCTAGGATCTCATTTCGGGGGCAAATATTCTCATGGGACCCCAGTATTAACTCAAATCAGGTTTGCTTAGATATATGCAGACATACAACTAGATATAAAATACCTTTCACTTTCAGCTTATGCACAACTCAAAAACGAAAATCAATCTGCAGTTGAAGTACAAAGAAAACAATACGAGCAATCGATTTCAAAGGGAGGACATACACTTTAGTACTGAAACCAAATCATCACTTGCAGTGTGAACAGCCGGGACCGCCAGAATACAGGGTTTTGTTCCTTTGAAAGGGGACCTGGGAGTGGCGGGCGCCCACCGCATTTACATATTAAGCCCCACCTCTGCTCTTTCCTCATTGGCCAAGGACAATTGGTCCTAATGAGGTCAGGGGTGGAGCGCTGAGGTTAGCTTGTAAGTGCAAAGGCCCTGAGGGGTAAGGGGCAGGTCTGAGGACAGGATTAATTGCAGCCAGGTTCTAGCCTGGCTTTTCCCCGGTCCCTGACTGTCTCCACAGCTCCTGACTTTCACCCATGAACTCATTTGCTTCTTATTTCAAGGTGGAGAGGGGGGCAGGGCA